GGCACTTGAAATTAGACAAACATCTCTCTCTCCAAATCACCTCGGTTTGGCTACTATCTACAATAACATCGGCTGGGTGCATGGTAGGATGGGAGAGCACTTGATTGCACTCGACTTCTATCAAAAGACACTTGAAATCCAACAAAAATCTCTACCTCCGAATCACCCGGATTTGGCTACTATCTACAACAACATTGGCTTCGTGCGTGACAACATGGGAGAGTACTCGATTGCACTCGAGTTCTATCAAAAGACACTTGAAATGCAACAAAAATCTCTACCTCCGAATCACCCCGATTTTCTTGTTACCTACAACAACATTGGTCGCCTGCATGCTTCGATGGGAGGGTACTCAATTGCACTCGAGTTTCATCAAAAGGCACTTGAAATTAGACAAAAATCTCTCCCTTCGAATCACCCGGATTTGGCTACCACCTACAGCAACATGGGCTGCGTGCATGAGAAGATGGGAGAGTACTCGACTGCACTCGAGTTCTATCAGAAGACACTTGATAACCAAGAAAAATTTCTGTCGCTCAATCACCCCGATTTTGCTACTACTTACAACAGCTTTGGTCTTGTGCATGACAAGATGGGCGAGTATGCAAGCGCAGTCGAGTTCTGTCAAAAGGCGCTTGAAATTAGACAAAAGTTTGGGTGGAATGACCATCCAGATTCTGCTATGACGTACAGCAATCTAGGCAGAGTGCATCGATGGATGAAAGATTACTCTGCTGCGCTCTCATATTTCCAAAAGACGCTTGATATCCAGAGTATAGTCTCTCAAAGACACCCGTGGTTAGCTATCACGTATTGTAACATCGGTGATGTACACCGGTTGACTGGAGATTACTCGACGGCACTCTGGTTTCATCAAAAAGCACTCGATATTCAAGAGCAGGTTGTTTGTGATCGAACAGATTTGGCTACCACTTATAGTAATATCGGTGAAGTGCTTCGGGAGAAGAATGAATATTTATCTTCTCTCGCATTCCATAACAAAACATTGAAAATCCTCGATAAAACTGTTCCTCCGAATCACCCAGATTTGGCTCAGACTTTCCACAACATGGCAAGAGTATCCGAAGGTCTCAAGCGATACGATGAGGCCTTTGAATATGCCGAGCGTGCCGTCGAGATTGTTCATCAATCTTTAACATCGAACCACCCTGAAGCAGTGATGTTTCGACAAACTCTAGGTAGACTACGTCAGAAAAAGTGATTTGTTTCCGTATGAACCTCAGTGATATTGTTTCTTCCCTTGACGTTAGTCAGGGTTATACAACCTAAGATATTTGTATGTGAACACGGAGAAATCAAAAGCTTAGTAACTCTTGAGAGAATCGGTGTAGATGGTTGGGCTTGGGGTCTATATCAGGTAATGAAAGTATATACATTGTATTTAATCATGATTTCAGCATGTAGAAATAGAATTTGCCAACTTTAATTAATCCAAAACGCCTGCACAATTTGTTGTTAGAAATGAATGAGACACGGAATCAGGCTCAACAATCATACAGAAATGCTTTAAAAGTGAAATTATTTAAGTTAGAAATGAATTTTGGTGATACTGTTAAGTGAAGTTTATTGTTTACAGTTACACTTGTATTAGTTATAACAACTGGAATGATAATTTTTATCCAAAATCAATCGCTTGTATACCAAAATTACATGATAAACAACATAAATATCGTTCAACACAACTTCAAAAATCGTATAACATTTTATACAAGCTTGTCACAATTATATTGTAATGTAGCATCTGTTTAGCCTTTATTTGTTTATAAATTGATATTGCATAACTTTTAGTTATAAGCGCAAGAAAACGAAGTAGGTATAGTGCAGATAATTTTTTCATATTTTACAACAGTTGTATCAGTAGAAAAAAATTGCGCAAGAGTTTGTGCGCCAGTCTACAAAGTTCATGATGCTCGCAAAGTTGAAAACGGATTAAATGAACTGAATATTTATTTTAATCTACTCATTTTTCGTGTACTCCAAGAATAGTAAAACACCTAGAAGCAAAGCTTTGCTCGTAAACGGATATCATTGTAAGTTTGAGCATAAAAGAAAAAAGAAGCAAAGTATCGACTGAACATGCTCTTAGCTAGACTAAAGAACTAGCAGTAATACTGTAAAGTCATTGCCTAAGAGATAATTTCTCATATAAACGTAAAAAACAAGCTGTTCATTCGTTTTATTCCAGTAAAAAAGAATAAAAAATATAAGTCATGATATCTGACGATATCACGCTTAACAAAAAATCAGAAAATTACAGGATTGTTTCAAAAGAAGGGCACATATATCGGCACGCGAAAAGGTTTATAAGCAAAAAAAACGAGACAATCTCGTACATCAGACAACAAACAAAGTAGGCATAATAAAAATACTAGAAAATACCTGATCACATATCATACACACACCCGTCATGTCACATGTCATACTCACACAAACAAAATCACGCCATTTCAAACAACAACAAGATACGGTTTTTCCTTTATTTTGACTATTTTCAATAAATAAAAACAGTTAAAAATCGGTAATATAGTTAGGTATCCACTGATATCTGCTTTTTTGAAGACATTAACTACACCAATAAAAAACATTGTTAGAAATAAACCGATGTAAAAAATATCCAAAGTCCAGAAGAGTAATCCACCACCAAATATCCATCTGGCATAAAAAAATGTATTTAATTTTGGGAGGGGGAGACGTTCAAATAAAATAGATAAACGATTTTGTTCTCTTTTTCTGCTTTCTTTTGATCTTCTTGTAATTTTGTTATTTAGAAATTTTCGAAGCCTGTGTGATAAACTTTGTTAATCTCGAAAAACAATGTGTTCTGTAGATCAACGTTCTTTTCGACGCTTTCGAGAAAACAAAAGTATATCCCTAAATTTCAAATGGAGAAATAGTACTCATTCATTTGAAAATCCAAAAGAGAAAACTGTATGTTCATCTAAAAATTCGAAGGGAATAACTTCAGTTTAGCCTTATATTAACGCAAGATTAAAAACAAAAGTCGATGAAAAAGACAAAAAGTTTATTGTTAAAAGCTTTATTTTCAATTCTGGTCGCGCGATAAGTCGAATGTCAGATTGTACATTCATGTAAGTGTTCATGAAGTGATGGATGCACACTACTAACGTCTGTTTTAAGAACAAACGTTTTTAAACCCTTTATTATCTTTTAGCATCAGCGGTATATGTACAAATAACATCAGATTCTATGCTGGATTGGCATTTATAATGAGAATTTTGAATTGCATGATTTGTTAGTTAAACATGATTCTAAATCACGTTGTTACATTAGACGTGAACTTATTAAACAACCGGTGGATACTGACGATTCAAGTTGATATATCCAGCGATTGTGCCTTGACGAAACAGATACAAGAAGAAAGTTGTATAGAGATAGAAATCATCGATCGCAATCACACACAATACTAGTAGATAGAAAAAAATTATTATAGTTATCGGATGATAATGAATGACTTTTGTTAGTAGAAGTCTGAATTACTATGCACGTATTAGAGGTGTAATTTCTTTAACTAATTTGTACTAATACTATAGAATAAGACTAAAAACTAACGTGCCTGTGTGGTTCAGTGGTGAACATAACACATTCGTCTCGTAAGCGAATAGACCGAGTTCAATTCTTGACAGGAACAAAATTCTTTTTAATGCGTCTTTTCTAGAAGACACATCAAAGCGACTTCGACAAAGGCGCTAAAATACGACTAAGTGGGATCCGACTTACGTGTCTTTAATGTGACTAGAACGAAGACGCTATAAAGTGACTGCCAGGTAAAGTCACATCATGTGTCTTCAGAGAAGACACTAAAATGCGGCTTTTTGGGATCCGACTTATGTGTCTTCCTAGAAGTCGCATTTTTTTTTAGAGTGTATAGACAGTTTCTACTGATACCCAGTTCACGCAATACAACAACGTCAACATGGATGTGGAATGAAGGTAACGAAGTACGTCTATGGCTGATGAGAGGTGATTCAGAAACAGAAAGTGTATAACGAAAACCTTAGAACTTAAGTTTGATTCAAGCGATGCTACATATTCAGAACATCGGACAATTGATTCTTGGGGAATTGATTCTTTAACAGCATATATTGTGAAAAGTACGACGACACCAGTACCACCTGTACATTCGTATCGTCTACTTAATCCAAAACCACTAGTTCCGACATTTCGTTTTCAATGTTTATTAGTTGATGCTGCTCAAAATGTTATACAAAGGATATTAAATACAGATTATCAAATTGAAATTGCATTTTATTTTGCTGGATTTAGTCAAGTTAAAGCAAATATTGGTTCAACAACAAATAAATAGCTGAAAGATGTCTTAAGCAACACAAATTCTGATGGGAATGGAACAAATGCACTGTACATTCATCGTAATCAGATAAAAAAATTTTTACAAACATATAAGACGAATGTAAAAACATTAACTTATCAAGAATTCAAATATAGCCCTGGAAAGCAAAACTTGCACTCGGTATTTGAGCTCTTTTGACACTCGAAAAGGACATTTTGAGAAAAGTAACGGCACCGTTCGATAGCACTTGGAATTCTCTATCAAACTGTGTAGTTTGATGTACCTTGCTTTTATTTCCTGACAAATTAATCAAGTGAAATAAAGGCACCCTCATGTCCAGATTCCGACAGACTTGATTTTGTCACTGTCATCAAACTAGTTTTTAAAATTTTTCATCACTATAGAATTACCTTTTTAAAAGAGTAATTATATATTCTGGTAGAGCTTGAAATTCTCTATCACCCTATATATGTACCTATTCTCTTGCATTTATTTCCTGAAGAGTAATTTGAGTACAACGAAGATTTTGTCAGTTGACAAGAACCAAAATTCCCTATCTTCGTAGTATTTTCAAATTATACCTACTATTTGAATAAGTTATTATAAAGGTAAGCATACATTCTGATGGAGCTTGAAATTCGCTATCATCCTATTTAGTTTTGTGTTGACCTAAATACGGTCAAAAAACCTATTTTAGCTGTAGTAGCTCAGACAGGCCACCCCTATTCGACAAAAGTAGATTACAATCAAGCGATTACAAATAATTCTGAAAGAGCACTTGATAGTCAATCGAAATACAAAACGTCTGTATTTTAGGCGCCTGTTTATACCGTGGAAAAAATTGAAAAACATAGTAAAAATGAGTGGAAAGTAGGTGCATTCCATACAATTATACAATGTGGCCTATAAAAACGCTCAGTTCTATGTTTTCAAATTGAGATAAATAGAAGTTTGTAGAGAATTCAATTACGCATCTTTCAGAAAAAAATTCAAGGTTATATTGTATTTCTGTATATATATATGCAAAATAAAGATGTCACAATCATTTGGGCCCACCTAGTATGATACATACCACTAATACGTCAACTCCTCGGCACCAAATTTTGCATTCAAACTAATAGTTAAACTTGAACTTACTGTTACCTCTTTTATTAGCAAAAAAGTATACTCAGCACACTTCAAAATCTATTTCATAGACATAAACTTGTTAGTCTAATCTTAGTCATCTCACTAACGATTCTACTAACCGTTCTAATATCAGTACTAATCTCTTACTTCACATCGAATCAATCGTCTACGACTACTATTGTTCCTCCTCCTCCTTCTCTTACTACCACTTTTACTACTCATACTATAGTATGAGTAGTATGAGTAAAAAACTCCAGCCAAATCTATTTCGACTCCATATGGAAGCCATTCAAGAAGGTGCTGCAAAAATAATTATGAATTGAGAAAAGTTTTAATTACATGAAACCACGTCTTTTCCAAGAAAAACGCACTAAATGCAGATCGAAAAAATCCGTTCGAATGCATAATAGTGAACGCATTCGAATGATGTTTTTGTTAGCGTTTGTTGGGAAGGAAAAAAACGCGTTTTCTTATTGCGCGTTCAAACGTTATTTTTAATTGACGTTTTAAGCTGAAAAAACGCGTTGTCGATAAAAATCGATGCGTTTCAACGCGCTGTGAATAGAATAGAATGCGTTTCAACGCGTTGTAAATTGAAAAGGATGCGTTCCAACGCGTTATAATAAAACAGAATGCGTTTAAACGCAAATATAATGTTTTTTTCCCAAAAGTTGGCGTTGAAACGCAAAC